AAAGTAGACATATAAGTACCAGGGTTGGGTAGTAACTAGTTAAAACATTAAAAGTTAAAAAAGAGTTAAAAAGTTAATAACTTTTAATTTAACTTAGTTAACTTTAAATATATTAATTTTTAACTTAATTTAGTTAACAATAAATATCAATTAGCTTAGATTAGTCGCACATTTGTATGTGGAAAGAATTTTTATACTCAACTCTTATATATTGAAAATGGCCTAATTTAAGCCCCGAAACATCTAATAATTTGCAACCCGATTATATGCATTGGAATTACATATAACATTCGCTAAAAGCATCTTGCGTTAGTGGTATATGTATTATCTTCCCTTCTTCCTTTCTCTTCCTTTATCTTTCCGTTTTTTAATTTAGTTACTTTTAAACTTTAATTCATTAACTTTTTTTAAATTAAAAATTTTTCTATCTGTCTTAATGCTAATATTTTTTTCTACAAAATCTCAAACATTAGAGAATTAATTTAAAAAACGTTCATTGATTTTATGATTAGAGACTGTATAATGAGAGTCACACCGAACGATAGCTAGTTTTTATTAGCTAGGTTTTGTCAATTCCCGCTTATGTTTCAATCACATTAATTTTAGGTATCATAAACATTATATTTCAACATAAATATGAAATGAGATGACGAATTGTTGTAAAACAGTGTTGCTCATTTACCCATTTTCTAAATTTTTATGAGTATTTTTTGTAACAAATATCTGGTCGATGTAGTAATCATATGGGTAGTAATCATAGTTGTAATCATATGTGAGCAGTCGTTTCGGAAGTTACAAAAAGTTAGATAAAGGTTAAAAAAAGATGAATAATGCAAATATATTCCTTCTCTCTCTCAAGATTTTGACAAAAACGCCTTATATTATAGTATGACTATTGTCATATATTAGTAACTTACACGTGAATAAAAAAATTAAATTTACCTAATAATTTGTATTGTAAGTGTTATTTATTAAAGTAGCCTCATTTTAAAAATAATTAGGACATTTTGATGTCATAAATAATTCTTTTCAAAATTAACTTTTCTTTAAACTTAAGTTAATTCAATCTTAACTTAACTTTTATTAAGCTAATTTTTTTATTTCTTCAACTTTTAACTTAATTTTATTAATTTTATAAGTTATTAACTTTAACTTAATTTAGTTTAACAAAAATATTAACTTACCCAACTCTCTGATAAATATATATATGAAAATTTTGTCTGTCCACTCGACCTGTCGTTCGCGGAAATACGAGGACAAATCGATAAGTATCCGTGTTTGAAGACGGATGGTATTGTTGATCCAAATTGGTATTACCATCGTGTACTACCATCTTTCGAACGACGCCATACAAAATTTCACAGTGATTCGTGCGATAGTTTTGATTTGACAACAATTCGTAGTGAGCGTGTTTGATGTTTTTTGATTCAATGGAAGTCAAATCAAAACTATCACATGAATCACTTTGAAATTTTGTATGACGTCGTTTGAAAAATGGTAGTAAGTAGACGATGGTAATGTCGACTTGCATCAGCAATACAGTCTGTCTTCAAACACGGGTACTTATTTATTTCCCCTGGTATAGATAATGGACTTTCAAACGCGTTAATTTCTTGTATATCGTCTATTTACATTTTTTTGACTGTTTAAAGGGACTAGAATTGAAACATTTTATTTCGGTGTATAGAAAATTACAATTTAATATGTAAGCGATAATTATGTGCAATAATTCGACATAAAACGTTTTAAAGTTTAATTGATTATTTCAATTGGTAATAAGGACACAGCGATAAATATATTTTGTATGTGGAGAACATTCTAAAAAATTTTATAAAATATTTACAATTTTAAGTGCTAAAATGAAGTGTTTATTTTGTAAGACGTTGGTAGTATAATCAATAAATTTCAAATATCCGCTTTTGCAGATAAAATAAAAAATGATTAATAAAACTTTTTATAACTTACCTTTTTTTTTTTTTGTGTCGCTGGAGAAATGTGCCTTATGCATACCTTTTTTTTTTTTTTTTTTTTTTTT